TCGTTTCGGTGGCCAATTTACAATTTCAACTTAGTTGACATAACCAAATCACCTTGTTACCCCCACCGACGCAGCACCAAAGCTACTTTAGAAACTTTCAGCCTTGAAACAGATGAATACTTAGACAAAAAGAAAAAATATATTAACTAAGTGTTATAGCGACCTGCTACGAAAAGGTTTTACAATTATATATAAGGATCGTTCTTACTTATCAGGGCGTCATCTTTTGTATAATAACTATATCTAAGAATGCTTACATTAATACAACTAAGTATTGTTAAATTGTGAAATAGGAAAGGTTTTCAAGCTGAAACTGGACTACTGTGCTTAAAGTACTGCTGAGATCAATAGCTGTTCACTACGTGTTGTTGAAAAGTTTTGTTCTGTTCTCCGTCCAAGGAATCTCTTAAAAGGTTCCTTGGACAAAACAGAACAAACGAGTCAAAGAGGGAAAAACATTAAGTACTTGAATATAAGGAGACAAAAGTTAAAGTCGTTTACTCATTTTAAACTGACTGCCTTTGAGAAAGATTATCTGACAAGGATGTGTTATGAGTAAACCAGGCAAAGAAGGAGAAGCTTCTTCGGCAACTTTTACAAATTTCTAAAGAAAGGAAAGAGTATATAAGCAAAAATTCTTGAAGGACCAACGAAGCAAGACATTCTATTAGTTTTTCCCCTTTTCACACGAAATAATGGACTGTTCACCACTTATACGTATTCCATTGGTCTGATATATCTGAGTGTATTACAGTAGGTATAAACGACTATCTATTAAATTACCAGAAGGGCTTTTGTTCTCCCACCCCCTCTTTTATCCTCTTATCCCCCCTCCTTGCAGGACTAACAACGAAGCGCTTTTAGCTGCCTAAAATTGCACTTTTTGGGGGAGAAATGGGTGGAAATCCTACCAGGACGAAACTAGATAAGTTCAGACTCGGTCTTTAATTTCTTTAACAGCCCTCTTTTGCTACATCTACTTATATACAAGTCCTTTAGGGCTGGCTTCTTGTTCATTTATTGAAGATTAGAACGATTTCCTTGTCACTGAACCAAGATGTACCCCATGGCTTTGATGTGTTTGTCTCCATTATCTGAATTGTGCTTTGCTTCGTTCCCACACGTGTTGGAGTCGTCTCCATACCCACCTGTGCCAAAGCCAATTCTGGAATCACAAGTTCTGCAACCTTTATTGTCGTTGGCAATGATACCGATTCTAGCTTTTGAATTTTCTTTCTCCGTCGAAGTGGGATTGAACCCTTCCTTGTTACATTTTAATTGCAAGGATGCCTCGGAGTCAATCAACAACTTCCACGTGTTACGACCCAGTGACGTGTCACGATATTGTCCGTCAGCGATCAGTGAGTACAAAGAGCTGGCTTGCTTTTTGACGAGAATGAACCTGGACAGATTACCGATCTTCATCCCTAGACAGATCTTGGAGAAGGATGTGTTCCAGTAGGTGGGTAGCTTGGTCTCTTGAAAGTCAAGCCCAGTCTCCCCTCCTTGAGGATTGAAGTCACTCATGTTACTCCAGAGTTGCGAATCGAAGTGGAAGGTTGACTATGTATACGGAAAAGTTGAAATGAGTTGAATGATAACTTAATTCATATGCAGATAACAACTAAAACGAGGAGAATGGTTCGAAATATTCAACAGCGAGACTGGGGAACGTGATTTTTTTAGTTTACGAGAATTAGAAGCCCTCAGCCTTGAGTCTCTAACATCCTTTTTACGGCTGCTTATTTTGGATCGTTCTTTCAGGTTGTTAAATATAAAGGTTAAAGGTATAGCCGAGTTGGAATAAAAATCGTTTGAGATCGATTATGACTTTGTTCTTTATGACTTTGCAAGTCTACACTTAGTTCACGCAGGCAATCTTTGGGGCATCCGCCTTCAGTTCACGCCAGCCTTTGCATGGAAGATTCAAAAAAGCAAAGTGCCATCCATGTAGTAGTTGCTTCTGCACGGTAAATATTTTAGTCATAAATTTGCTGTCGTCCAAAATGGTATTAGAAGGGAAATTATAGAAAGTCTCGATGCATTAAAAAAAAAAAAAAGCGGAAACGGATTCCTGCCAAAAGTTATTATCCAAGGACAGAAGGGAGAAGAAGTACAATATACATAATAGTTTTAGAATAATGGATGCTGGGAGTATTGTGAACCAACCCGTAGCTCAATAAATTTTTATCACATTGACGTTTTAAATAGTCTCAAAGATATTTTGATCGTTTTCTAGGTATTTCCACTTAGAGCTTGAAAGAGTTTTTTTACGATTTTACAAGCATCTTTATCCTCTTTAATCTCTCGTCTGACGATGATGATCCCTTTAGGGCGACGTAATGTAGAAGGTTCAGTTATGGAGGTGGTAAAAAAGTTATGGAAATTTTGAATACTGCACTTTGTGAGTATGATGACCATATTAGGAGATGGATTCCCCACATGTAGCGCATAAAGATGATATCTCCTTTCTTCAAGAAGTCACATGTCAAATTTTCCCTTTTAAGTAAAACATTCGACTCACGAGTAATAGTGAAGAGAGACAAGATACCTTGTTGCCGTCCATTTTCATTACCATCGTCCATCCACCGCCCCCGCAGCCCTCAAGGTCATCTGTTATGTGACAGTAAACGTTGACCTTCCCATGATCCACTAGAAGTTGATAAGCTCTATTCTCCTTTGACCTAAAGTAAAGCAGTTTTGATCAAAAATAAGACACAAACAGCAAAGATAAACATAGTGAACTTGCACATTTTGATTATGACTTGACGTTTCGTATGTACTCCACATACATTTTCAAAAGTAACCGTCGAAATTTAAAACAGCTATGTATATATAACTAAGATTAGGGGACTGTAACCAAGATTAAGCAAAAAACTTAACAATAAACAATAACACTAGAGCAGATTGATAAAGCAACAGCTTTTCACTTCCGACGTTCACGTTAAAAGCTGGCTCAAGTTCTTGAATAAGTAAGGACTCTTTGATTTTACAATGGTAATCTGTTTTGCCTTTTGCCAAAATATCAAAATGATCCCACTTGATATTATGTCCAGTGGCCTTGACGTGGTCGGCAATGGCTGAAGTATTGTCATTTTTAGCAAGGGCCTTAAAATGTTCGGTTTTTCTATCGTGAAGCCGTCGTTTTCTTATTTTTGATCAAATTACGATGGCCCAAGAACAAACGCATTTACGATAAAGCAGTTTTTTTTGTACTCGTTAATCATTCGTTTCCTATATTTACCGATTTACTTTTGATTACGTAGCGTAATAACTGTGTTCCTATAAACTTGTTGATAGGACCAGATGGGAATACATTTGGCTGGAGATCATGGTGCACGAGCCGAGCCGTCACTTTTTCTCAAGTTTTTCTCCCTTTCTCAATGAACTCACAGCGTGCTGGGCTGTGCGGCTTTCTCTGGCCCGAATTATGGTTTATATTTGAAACCTAGCCCTAACTTTAGGCATAAATGAGTTATCAATTTTGATTTACCTTTTACTTTTGTAAATTTCTTTACACGAATGAAGGAAAGGACCTGTAATAAGATGAAGTTCAAAATTACAAAGGTATTAATTATATTTCTGAGCTCTATTTATAGAAACACGCACCCCAGTCTGATGATGTATACGTAGATACCTTGATGCGCATACTGTCCAGGATAAGTACAATTAGTTCAAAACTGACAAAGAGCAGTTACTCAGCAAATGTCCCCTATTTCATTGGAATTGGGGATAGAGCTGGTTGCTTGAGAAGTTATTTTAATAAGTTTATTAAAATTATTACTTCAGTTATTACTTAAAACAAGGTCGGACGGAGAGAGGTGTACAGTGAACGAAACACCATTCCAAGTCTCGGAATGGAATTCTTACAGAACTCTTACTCCTAGTTGTAGAGACAGTTTTGATTGACAAAATCCATGCTGGCTCAATTGGATCAGATAGGATCAGCGCACGAGCTATGTTTTCATATTATTCATAGTTTGAATATTATACTTTCGCACGTCAATCCTTCTCCATGGTACCATGGTTTACATGTGCATTTGTACGATCCCTTAGTATTGTTACACACAGCATCAACACTGCAGCTGTGTGATCCCTCAACACACTCATCAATATCTGAAAGGAAGTTTCCCTGTTGTATTCATCAATAACATATGTAATGGCTTTCAACGTAGGGAGAGTGGAACCTCTTTGGTTGCCGTTGTGTTTCATTGCTTTGTGGAGGGGGTCATTCTTACACTACGATGTTAGCAAATGTAATGATAATAACTATAATAAGTTAATAAAAATAATCATAGATTTATTATACATAGAATTAAAATAGTTGAGACTAATTTACATTGAAGCTCGGTCTACAGAATAAATTATAATATATATATAAATAAATTAAATTAATTAAATAGATAAATAAGTTTGAAGGTTAAATATATATACAACTGAAATTACATACAATGATTTCGCAAACCAAGGTTTGAAGTAAAACTCCTTATCGATTCAGAATTGTTTACATGACTTGGAAAATCATTAAAAAGCTCAGCAGCTGCACAAGAAAATGATCTACTTCCTGATTTAGATGCTAGGACCAGCGCTCGAGCTATGTCATCATATCTCTCGTACTTTGAAAATTTTACCTTCGCACGTCAATCCATCTCCATGGTATCCAGGTTTACAGTTGCATTTGTAGGATCCCTTGGTATTGTTACACACAGCATTTACGCTGCAGTTGTGTGATCCCTCAGCACACTCATCGATGTCTGAAAATAATTCTCCTCATTTTATCTGTCAATAGCATGTGTAATAATTTCCAACCTCATGATCGCGTAAGTTGTTGTTGTTGTTTTTTTTTTTTAACTTTTCTTCAGCCTTCCTATACCCAGGATATAGAAGTCCTCCCTAAACTTGTTTACGACCTTAAAATTGGGATTTCCGTGTATTTCGTCACGAACTGAGATCTGTGCGAGTTCTTGTTTGTTTGTTTTTCTTCGTATTTGTATTTGTATTTTTTTTTTTTAGTATTGAAAACGTGTCATACCTTCTTCACAAGTCTGGCCCCTGAACCCATTAGAACACAGGTAGTGGTAACGTTTCTTGGTAACATCGCTTTGACAAGCGGAGTTGTTCTTGCACGGATTTTTCACACAAGCACTCTGAAGGAAAAAAAAGAAATATGAATTCTTCACGCAATAGTTAGCCAAGTAACTTCTATCCTTTAAGCCTTCACCTTTCTGAAAATATAAGATTTTTGTGAGACCCCTCCTCCAAAACGCAACAACTCTAAATCAAAACTAAAACGCCGGAAAAAAAAAAAAGAATCCTTTTATTGTGAAATGCATACAGTTATACTTACGTCTTGATTTTTGTAAGTGGTTAAGTACATTTGTACAACTTTTGTGGTCATTTTTCTCCGTACTAATTTCTCTCATAATAAGTTGACGACAAACCGACAAAATCAAGCAGCCACCAGAATAAGGAAGAACAGTAGGACTGGGATGCAATGGATAAAAAGAAAAACAACAACAACAACAACAAAAACAATTTTATTGATTTTACAACAATAGAATGATATTTAATAGGTTGTGAACGTTTTTACCACGTGCTCGTGTTCTTTGTATGTAACATGCGCTACCGCATTTGTATTTGTATTTTCTAACTGCATCTTTCCCGCCTAAACTGTAATACATGGTCTGGAAAATCCTTAATTGGGACTTCAGTGATGCAAATAAGCTATCATTATGAGTTAAAGGTAAAGATAACCCCTCACCTTAAAGTGAATATGATGCGAATTATTGTGTTCCTTGTACTCGTTAGGATTGTTGTATTTATAAGATGACAGTAACTCGCACCACAGTTCACCTTCAGCAGCCAGGTTTACGGAAACACACAGAGGATGGTAAAGGCATTTAAACACACATTCAAAGTCGTCGTAGGTAATAATCTCTTCAAGTTTAGGTACATGGAGATAGTGAAACTTGTCTAACGAAAGCAAACTCTGTCTGAACAGCTGTAGTGAAGTTTCTTTATTATCCTCGGGCTGCACGCTGACTGCCTCTGTCGGTTGAGAAAATGAACTAATTTTTCTTTCATTTAGGGGAAAAACAGATACATTGACACTTACCCGGGAAATTTGATTAGGATGCTTTGATGATAATATCACAGCTTAAGCGATGTAAGCACGTATACGAGAGGGTTTCACTAGGGTTAGCCGTCAGCCGTCAGCAGTCAGCCGTAAAACAGCAGTTTAGCCGTTAGGCGTAATACTCGACCAATCTTCACCTATAATCGTTGGAAAGTAATCCGTAAAAATACTTCTTTTAAAACAATGGAAAGCAACGAATCCTTAGCCATTAAATGGCAAAAATTTTAACCGTTAGCCTTTAAAGCCATAATTCTCCTAAAAGCATCATATATAGCGTGTATGCTGATCCAAAGAAGGAATGCGATATGTCAAATTTAGATTTGTCAACTTAACATTTTGGATTTGAGGCACGATATTGGTGGGCGCTTTTCAAAAGGGTTGTAGAGAGGTGAAATGTTTGCGCCTAATGCGAACTTTGAAACATGGAAAGAGGCAACGTGATGTATTTCAAATAAACAAAAACTACGCTGTGAAACAGAATAATGGCACACTGTTTTAAATGCGCAATTCTATTTTGGATAGCTGGGAAAATTATGTTTAGTCTAAAGAATCCTCACAACGCTTTGTTTGAAAAGTCTTAAGTGCTTCTTTTTCCATTATCAGGCGTCTTCCAGATGATTCCATGAATGATTTCATTTTTCTTTCTTTATTTTCGCAAAACACCAGTTGTTTTTCGTGCCTTCCTTTGGCTTTTGGGAGGGAAAATGAAGCGTGCCTGAGCAATATTTTATTCATGAGTGCATGTGCGACTTTTGACTGTATTATTTTATCCATTCAAGACGTCCTTGCCATCTTAATTAGAATTACCTCCTGAGATGAATTTTCCTCAGAAATATCTTTATTATAAAAATAGCGAGGTGAAGTTCAAGGACAGATTAGGAATTGCTTACAAGCGGTACAAAGTTCGAACTTAATCGAACTGAGCTAATGATTCACGAATATTCCATTAAGTGCGGAAACAATGTTTTTGCTTCCT